GCACAGACTCTTGCACTTTCTGCTTATTTGCACTTCTGGTGAGATGCCAAACCTCATTTCGTTACTCTATACTTGTATATGTGTAATGACAATAAAGTTGAATCTCATCTCATCTCATCTCATTTAAAGGACAGAAGTCGCAGGATGCTTAGATTTTAAAGCCCCTTTAGGTGAAATTGCAACACTGACATTCATCTACTTAGCTTCAAAAGAGAATACATCTTTAAAGGAGATAAAAAGCTGTTCCGTAAAAGTTGTATTCTTAGGTTATTACTGCACGTTCCAGTAATATGGTCGGTGGAAACATCCTTTTTTCCACCACAATATCAAATAATGTAATACAATGTCCTCCCAAAATGACAACAGCTTTGTTCATTGTCTGGTTTCTGGTTTGGTTTTTTCTTCAAGTTTAAAGTTCTTTTGGTCTTTTTGTAACACTTGGCACTGGATCCACTAAGAACTAACTCGCTGATTACAAATAACTTGCAGTATACATGTACACAAATTCAATTAGAACATTTTGAACTTTACTGCGCCCAGAGAGGAAATTAGATTTAGAAAATAACCATCATCGCAGCATGAAAGACGTTCAGTAAACTTTGTGGCCATATGGGGAAAGTGGCGAAGAGACTGTAGAAGTTTTAAATGTGAACAATGTGTTCCTGGAAATCATTTTGTCTGCCCAAAAACTAACTGGATAATTGAATTTGCAACCATGCATGGATACTGAATTAGCACTATGGAGCTCGACATGGCTTTAGATCTGGCAACGAAAAAAAAAAAAAAATGTTGCATCTCATTTTGATTTGAAAAAAGTGCAATACACGGTTTCATATTCTACACATAACCCATCAGGGTAATATATTATAAGACTGCATAGTCTTCCTATTTGTTAAGAGGATCTCCGTGGCACCTGCACCCAATACTTAAATGCAAGCTTCTTTTCCCTGAGGATCTACACAAGGAGCATTTCATAAGCCGCTTAATCCCTGGGGGGCAACTCATTATGGACCGATAAATTGAAGCACACTTACGCTGTCATTTTAGTTCAATTTTTCCTCACCTCACCTCAGTGTCCCTGTTGCGCTACCTCTCTCTCTGCAAACCCTCACCCCATCTTTTCTCACCACTTGTTGTTCTGTCAGAAGCTCCCAGAGCCTATTTTCAGACATCTCATTGACTTTTTGTCTTCGCCAGCTTTGGAAACGGGTTCTGACTGGATTTCAGTCGTTAGAGAAGAGGACAAGATGGCAAAGAAGAGACATTCATACCCCTCTGTGACCTTGTCCTCATGGACGCCTGGGGGTATATCTATGTTAATAAAAGGGGGATGTTATCATGCAGACTCAACATAACCTCAGATGTGTGGAGTCTGTTTCCTGTCTCCATTAATATAAAAGCAAACAGGTTCAGGTCTGTAAACTCTGCCGGAGATGTCAGTGAAAACAGAGCATGTTAGTGGATGACAGTTTTTTTTTTATTCCAGGGCTTTTTGTGTTTCTTTTCTTCCTCTCAAACACCCTCATAAAAGTCCTGTTCAAAGGCACACTTCAAACTATTTCAAAGGCAAAAACAGCCTTAATAGCTTAGTAAAAAAAAAAAAAAGGCCAAGTTGAAAGTTTTGTAAGCCAGTTAATACTTTTATTTTGTGAGCTGAATTTACTTTAAAGTTCCTCTCAGAAGCAATGTTGTTTTTCCCAGTCAATGAACGCTCTTCTAAGCTTTTGTTCACACTTGATGTAGTGGATGTTTCAGATCAAGGCTCTCTCTGCTTGATAATAAGGGGTTTTTTTAGACTTCTACTTTAGCACTTCTTCAAATGTTGCCATTACTTAGTTTTTTGGGGCTGTTTTAAAGAAGACAGCACATATCTTTATTAAGTGCTGCTCATTATACAGGAGCCTTGATTGAAGCTGTTCTTAAAATCTGCACAACACAGAATATCTCTTCCACTATTTGATGGATTACCACAGAATTTGTTTTTGAGATTATCAAACCATGAAGAGTTATAGGTTAATCTTGTTGCTTGTGCGACAGAGCAGGTGACTTGTGGTTTTAAGTCATAAGTCTTGATGAAATTCTGTACAAATGTTCCCCTCATGGTGAACTGTAACCACTTTAGATTTCAGGTCTTGTAAATGTAGGGCCTTATCAGCAGAGTATTGATCTTACATACTTTTGAAGCTGCTTTCAGAGTTATCTCACCTTACGGGTCATCAGTATTCACACAATCATTTTTTTCAAAAAGCTCTGTGAACAAGCCCAGATATCTCTGTTGTCACATATTGAAGTACCTGTGAGAAGAAAATACATAAATTGCCCACTGGATTAGGAGAAGAAGAAGGAGAGAAGAAGAGATGGGTGGCTGTGGGTCAGTGGGTAGAGTCAGTCGTCCTTGAACCAAAAGGTTGGGGGTTCAATCCCCAACTCCTGCAGTCACATGTCCGATGTCTCCTTGAGCAAGACACTTTACCCTGAATTGCTCCAGCTGCTTCGCCAGTGGCATATGAGTGTGTATGAATGGGACTAGTGTGATATGTGGCGTTAAAGCACTTCAAGTAGTCAGAAGACTAGAAAAATGTGTCTTGTATGAGGAGCTCAGTTGCTACAAACATGTTACTGTTTGTTTTAGAACATCAGAGACGATGACTTCAAGGATCCTCAAGAGTTGCACGCTCCTCCACAAATCCTCAAACAACCTCGAATGTAATTATGGCCACCCACCAACTGCTTTCAACTCAAAGTGTTTGCAGCCTTCAAAACTCTGTCTCTTCTGACATAACCTCGGTAAAAAAGAAAAAAACTCATTAGAGTCAGTCTTTCCGTTCTAAAGAACTGACAGCATTTAAGACAGCAAACTCAAGCCATCAAAGTAATTAACTGCTCTGCTGGCTTATGATTAAAAAAAGAATCTCTACGGGAATACAGCACCCCCCCCCCCCCGAAGGTCAAGTAAAAAAAAAGAAAAGATTTATTTTTGGGCTTTTTGTGTCTTTATTGTAGAGATAGGATAGTGGATAGAGTCGGAAATCAGGGAAAGAAGTCATGTAAGGACTTCCGATAGAAAAGAACAGCTGTCATTAAAAGTAACCCATGAACACCAAGATTCCTTCAAGTGTTTGTGTCGCTGTGTCGGCACGTCGGCTTGTCCCCACCCCCCCCAACGCTTTAAACCTAGAGGAAACACTGACCATGTTTATATGTGTCCCTTCCTTCATCTTTCTAAGTCAAATGGTGCAAAGCATAAAGGCACGTAGAGAGAGGCTGTGACAGGAATTTTGAATTCTGGGGGATTCCCCGGAAAACAACGAGCTATTTTATTTTAAAAATTTGTTAATATTTTTTTTGGGGATAAATCCCCCTCTTTATATGGTATTCAATCTTTCCGGTTTCTGTGTTCAGGAATCTATACATAGCTATGTTTGTAATTACCAATGAATAGCTGTCCTGCCATTGCCTTCACCCCACATCATTTTCAGAACTAACTGCTTTTTATAAAATCTCCTTCAAATAATTCAATTTGTCCTGCTTGACCCCTGTGACCTTGCCTTAGAGGCTCCAGCAAACAGTAATGTCACTGTCCAGAGGCAGTTACAGGGGTTGAGTTGCGATGAATCCGCTGAAATACGATCATCCCCCTCGCTGTGTGCTGGTCATGCTCGTTAGTATGTTGAATGTCATATCACGTGTGAAGTGAACTGCCTCTTAAACAACATGGCTCTATTTCTAGACCAAGTCTGAAGTTCATACATCCATGTATCTATTATGAGGAACTGTAGCATTTGTTAGCATGCATTATGTCTGAGGCTTAATGACAGGGCACTGGTCTGTTGCTGATCTAATGGATAAAGATAGACAACCAAGAAAGAAGGTTTGATTGAGATATTTAATGGGCCTTTAAATAGTAATAAAAACCTTAATAGGTGGAGTTCTTTGTGTTTGGTACGATATTTTTTTGCAATATTTTAAAAAAGAAAAGAAAATTGAAGACTTGGGAAAAAAAGGCCATTTATTAAAATGATGATTGAACATTGAGATGGGGTATGAGATGGGTCAAACGACCTGCACCCTCTGAGCCATGTAAACGAAAACAAGTCATTGTCACAGTATAAAGGCCCTTACACACCAAGGAGACCGTCGGCAGTCGTGAATCGTCGTGAGCCGTCACGGTTGGGGGTAGGAATCTCTCTGATTTGCCTTTCAGCTAAGCGAAACAGGAGAACCAGTGCACGGGAAGAAATACGGAAGCGCCTCTTCTATTCTTGTTCCACTAATAAAAGACCAAGGGCTGACAACGCCAGTGCCATTTTCAACTTTTTTATCAGACATTATTCTCTATTAGCAGTACCTTTAGTGTTGAGCGACAGCGGTGAGAAAATTGTTTTCTTGTATCACAACAACGCCGACGCCACAGGCGGCCTTCGTCACCACTAGTTCTTTGCCGTCTGCTTGGTGTGTCAGGGCCTATACATCTACACCTCATAGGTGAAGCAAACTCTTCCTTTAGAGTCTTTGCTGTGGCTGGATTTATTTCCTCACATCTTCTCAAATCTTTTCGATGATTTGCCAAGTGGCTTCTCATATTACATGTATTCTCTGATGTGTATGGACTGAGTCTGGCCGTGTCTGCATATTGTTTTCTGTTGGTCCACTTCTTTTTCATTTCTTGACACATGGAAATTGAGATGCTTCCATACATCAAATAAACAATTTATAAACTATCTTCCACATTCACAATCACTCCTAATGCATGACTTTCTGTTTGTGCTCGGACATGACTTTTCATTTTGCTTAATTTTGGTTGGCAAATTCTCCTTCAATTTCAAGCTGTGATGTTTTCACAGTAACTTTCTCACTATTTATGTTAATTTCACATTTTCACATTTTCACAGATGATTGTGGATCAAGGGAAATTTTAATCTAAATAGGGTGCTTGGGTTGGCGACTATTTTGTCTAGCAGCTTGAAGTATGATATGAATGTATAACTTGGCCTCAAAAGCAAAACTGTCACTACATTGTCTGTCTTCCTCTCTGCAGTTAGCAGCACCTGCAATGCTCTCTTGGATCACTTTCTGGAAGAAAGCTACTTGGAGCAGCTGTTTCCTCATCATTTGGGTTCAGAAGATTACAGTCAAAGTAAGAGTTGTGTACACACATTTGCACTCACAAAAAGAAAATAAGCCTTCCGATCATCATCTGTGTCAGTACTATAATTACTTGTACATTGGGTCTGACTCTGTGTTTTACAGCGTGAAAACGAGAGACACTGCGATCAGAAATGTTGTAAATGATATGGCAACAAAACGTTTATAGGGTTCCTCCAGCATATATGCCCTCAGAGCTCTTAATGGAAATTACTAACACAATAAATTGAAGTCAAAAAGTCATAAAGTCGGAAAAAAAAAATCTAAATTATACATATATATGTACTTGTAAATATAATATTGTGCTTTATATAAAAATATCCATAAATGTACCTACATAAGGACAAGCAAACAGTCCCAAACTTCATACAAGAACTGATAAATGATGTGCTCATGTCTGAGCTATCATAGGCTAATAATTCAACAACACTGAACCGTACCATCCCTACTAACACTCTCCCTTCACAAACATTTTATGTTTATGAACATACAGATTTATAACAGTTCAGTTCTGTTGCTATTGTAGAAACCTTATCCAGAACATGGTATGTCAACTTTGGATATCATCTTATTAGCTTGCTAACAGCTAACTCATGATAGACGATAGAAAATGGACTTTACACAATTTTTAAATGATTTCGATTTACATTTAAAGTAAAAGGATTGTAAGGAAATATTCAATGAAAGAGGGGGGGTACTGTACATCAAAGTATCCCTGAATCAAAGGGGACGTGAGGCTGATGATGGACGTGAAATTAAAGCTTGCTTTTATTCTCCGGACAAGCCGAACAGTTTCTTCTAAGGGAACATATCTAAGCATCACTTTATTCAAAAAACAAAGAACTTCATTATGATTTACATGATTTAAAAAAAAAATCAGAACATGCCAGAAGTCTGTGCTTCAATCTGTATAAAACTTGTTTACAATATTGTGCAATCGCAACACACTTCTGCAACGGCAATAACTAACCGAAATGAATGTAAGAAGTCTGAAAAGGAAAAATGCTCGATTAGAAGGAACATTTAGGAGATGAGATTTTAATCATTGCCTAAATCACAGCTGAATTCTTAAAATCCCTTATAAGGTCAGAAATGATTAAACTTACACTACAATTATCCCCCCCACAAGACAGATGATTAAAGAGATAAACTACTCAATATAAAGTTCAGGTTAAAATGTGACTGGAGATGTAATATCAGAGATTTCAAAGTTGAAAATGAAACAACAGGATCAGTTTCCTCACAACAGGAAATCGGTCGCTGGAATAACAAACCAGGCATAGATGTGGTCATTTGGCCTGATGATCAGTGGAAGCTTAATTTTTAGTTTTCTATAACGGGGAAACATTCGAGTGGTTTCCAATGACCTAATGATTTTATAATATGCCTTTTATTTCTGCCCATTATCCCCAGAGGGAATTCTCTGGCGGATTTATAAATTAGTGGGAGTGTCAATTTCTCCTCCAACCATCACACGATGTCTCTAACGCCTCCGCTTCCTTTCTTATCCTGATCATACAACCCCACGGCCCCCCCTTAAAGATTGACAAGCCTGACGCTCAACCTCTTCAAAAGCAGAATTTGGTTTTCAGTTAGATTAAGATCATAGTCCTAATTTGATTCGGGTTATTAGCCATGAAAGCTTCAAACCTGTGGCAGAGTTAATTTGCAGGTTTGATTTAAGGAATTTTTAGACCATTATTTCTGGAGCTGTGCATCTTCACTGGTCTTACGATTCGATTCGATTACGATTATCCAGCCAACGATTCGATTCGATTCGATATCACGATGCATCACGATTCATCCTCAATTTCCTATTTTACTGCACATGGCTACTTTTTCATAAACAGAGACAAACAGTCTAAGTTAAAAAGTGATTTAGACAACATTGTCATTGTCAATATCTTTACATTGTAAGTTAAAATTAATACATTATATAGGTAGCCTACAGTATAGGTAAAAAGTAGACTATAAGTGTTTGTGTGTTTAGTTTATTATACGAGATTAAGATGTTTTTAAGTCACTGTGTGTTTCCTTCTCAGGACGTTACAGCCTTTAGCTGTGAGCTTTGTTCAGGGTTAGTTTTGTTTCTGTCCTTTTTATTTCAGACGAGTTGTGTTTAGTTGCTACTGCTGTAAACGCCCCATTTCTTGATATGGATGTTTCACATTAAAAGCACTTCAACTTCAGATAGGCCGGGGACCGCAGCTTCAGCGGAGGTGCACTCGGTGACGCGGTGTCGGGAGTCAACTTTGTTTACAGTCGCTCACTTTATCACGAGTCACCGCCACAGCCCCTTTCTTTTAGTTATCCTGGACTTAAGACAGAGAGGCATCAGTTTAAACACACCTTCAGCTGTAATGAAGATGCTAATCCGTGCTGCGGTCGGCTAAAGACATGCCGAGTCAAGCTGTTTCAGCCTGCAGCGGAGCACTGTGCTCCGAGCCTGCAGGACCAGCTGACTCTGCTCATAAAGTCACTAAGCACAGGACCGGGACTCAATTTATGTTGTTTTCTGTCACAAATCCTTCTGTTAGCCTACATTACTTTCATTACACACCACCGTGTGTGTTTAGGTGAAACAAACTCAACCGCATTTAGCGGTTAGCAGATGCTTTTTTCTAACCCTCGTCAGCATCGATTACGTCCTCTCCCTGCATCGATGCATTAGTCGTCTAGTCTGCATCACGATGCATCGATTAAATGATTAATTTCAACAGCCCTATTTATTTATGTAAATCTTTCTGTACAATCTTCTTTTTATGAACTACAGTACAATGCTTTCTTGGATCTGATGAATGTCTCTCTGAGTGTGTATTTCTGCTTTAAATGAATGACTTCCTGTACTCACTTTAAATAGTGAGTTTGGATTAGAGTGAGGGTGAGAAGATGAAACACTTCACTTTTTCTCTTATAGTTAATGTTCAGCAGTTTGAGAATTTAAAGTTGTTTTTATTCATCATATGTCTTGGAACTGATATATATGTTCATAATCCTGAGTGGATTTAAAATGAATTAAACTATATTAAAGTAGTCTGTTTTTTTCTGATGTTTAATAAATGACCCCCCCCCCCCTTCACAAATTCTACAAAGTTACAAGCTAAACTTTGTCCTTCTGTCTTTTAGATACGTCATGTGATTTCGAGTCACCGTGCCTCTGGGCTTCATCAAATCACACTGATCAAAGCGACTGGTCGGTGATGTCACCACAGCAGCAGAAAGGCGCTCATGCTGGGATGATGCCTGTTACTGACTACTCAGTGGGAAGCCCTCAAGGTAAGAGTAAAAAAATCCCTGAGAAGAAATTAAATGAAACTGATTAAAGATTAGAAACCCAGTAATAGATCTCAGTGACTCAGAGCTCTGTGAGTCAGTGCATCTCTCTTGACATTTATGTTAATTCTTTGCATGATATACTCCTAATGCACAGTCTGTGATCCATCCTGATGCTGAAGCATTTGTCAAAAGTTTGACTGTATCGTTAAGTGGCTGTAAACCTGCCAAGCATGAATCTTCTACTCTGTTTGATTACCCCAGGGCACTTCCTGCACTTAAGCTCCTCCCCTGCCGCAGAGGCCTCTGGGACATGTGAGTACCACCTAACCAGCCCAGTCCTGCCAGGAAGTAACAGGGACTGCATGTTGCAGGTGGCTCTGTATGAGGCCGTTCCAGCGTGGGGGAACCTCACGGTCCTGATTAAGCCAGTCCTCTCAGGTTCAGCTGTTCGATCTGTGGTTCTGAACAACAAGAGACGTGATGAGCGCAGGTCAGCAGACAAACTCCAACACGCTCTGTGTGCCTCTGTGATCATGTTTGAGCAGAATATTCATTTGTTTATTGGCGTACTCATTAGAAATGCAGCTCATGTCCATTTAATTAGTGTCACACAGCAAAAGCCTGCGTCTTTACTGATTGAAGTGCTTGTCAAGTAAAGCTCCAACTTACTGAATAACTGAAGGGAGCTCAGGTTCACTGCAATGGAAGGTGACAGGGGCATTCAATCTGAGCAAGGGCACAGAAACTAATACCTTTAACTTCTGTGCTGCTGAAGTTAAACACAGAAAAGGATTTCTTGTCTTTCATGTGGGACAATCTCTAGAATCGTGAGGGTCAGTGGCCCCTTTGTGTATGGTGGGTCAATGGAGACAGGTATTTTCCTTATTGATCTAATGCTGAAAAACAGCTACCCGCAGAGCAGCTTAAAGCATTCGGGTCTCTAGATGCAGACTCTGTAAATGAATTCGTTCATAATTGGTTGTGACAGAAGAGGGATGGATGGGCATATGCAATTGGCTCGTACGTTGGCTTTGTTTGTGTCTCTGCAGTAATGGACTGAGCAATTCCATTATGAGACACACACACATACATAAGTTTCATTTATTCAGCTCACAATTTAACCCCCTACTCACCTGTAGATGTAACATAAAGATGTACTTTTTTTAAGCACATAGTCTCCATCCTACTCTCTGTAATTTGTACTGTAGTGCTGTGTGTCATTTCAGGGTTAACCAGTACTCACTCTGAAGTCTAATTGGACATTTTACTGCAAAGCCAAGGGGTTTATGGATCTGGAAATGGCTTAAATGCATTATCTTTATCTTACTGTATTCCATATAGTATAGAGCAGTATTCATCCTCTACTAAATGTACTCTATTTCTGAAGCTGACAACAGCAGGGATGTATTTTATAGATATACCTGAATGAAAGCTAAGTGAAGCAGCCATCAGGTAGGAAATTAAGGGTGTTATTCTGACTCAAAAAATTATACATGAACCTTTTTTTTTTGCATTTTTCTGGAAGCCAAAGCTCTTTTTGAGTTTTTACAGATGTGTTATTTGTTATGGCCCTCTTATGAGTCCATAGCTGACTGAATGTGGGGAGTGGTTGCTGTGCTGTCAAGGTAACAAAGTGACAATACAAGAGCAAAGGATGAAAGTCACAGATAGATAAAACATTGTTTTATGAGAATTTGAATATATTCACAATGTTTTTAAGGCCATTCTAGTCCATTTGGATGTAATGTAAGGTGTTTGTGTACAAGCAAATGCCACAGAGCAACCACAGCACCTGACCATGTTAACATAAAAAATGTCTTAAGTCAAATATTATTAAAGCCACTTTAACTTAATGTTTATTTGTTCAATGCTATTTATTACAATTTGGCTTGTTAAATCTGTAAAACATTTCTCTAATTGGTTGACGCAGGGGTGAGTGGGAGGTTCTAGAGACTATGATTGGCCAGGTGGAGGAAGCCTTCCAGGTGACCCTGCTCTACACTTCCTGTTTGGGGAACGATGGGACTACTGTGGCGCTGGATTCTCTGGAGCTCATAGACTGTGACTCAGGTGATTTCTGTTCAAAGCAATCACTAAAGCGTTTTAAGAATGTTTGCTCTAATACAATAAACAGCAGGAACCCTCTGAATGGATGTGTGATTACGTCTTTGTAAATATACTATGTGCTTGCTGGGATGCAGATCCGATCGACGGGCTGGATGATCCATGTGGGGAATCTTTCCACTGTGAGAACTCAGGAGGCTGCATCGACCATAGCCTAGTGTGCAACTTCCACACCGACTGCCCATTAGGAGAGGATGAGGGCTTAATCTGTGGTGAGGTTGAATTTTTGTCTTAACAAAATCACAGCATACTGAATACGATGGTGCCTAAAGGCAAACTGTGGGCTTCACTTCAAAAGAGACTTTGGCAGTTGGCTCCAGAGGTTTTCCCATGTGTGATGATGAATCACTTTTTATTTATTTTATCTGCACCATTAAACTGAGTCACTGAGTGGGAGTGGGAAACATCATGAAGGCAAACTCTGTGCCTGTGCTTCACTGTGTGTGATTGCTCAAGCACACTACACTTCCTTGGCCGTGGCACGCCAGGAAGAGGTGTGTTTCGGCTCGGTACAGTACAGTTCAAGCACGCATACTCAACGTGGACAGGCTTCTATTATCCAGAAATCCCCGAATGTTATGGCTGTATCTGACTAGAATGACCCAAAATAAGCCACAATTTCATTAAAGTGGCTGTCATGTTCTCTGTGTTGTTCTTCGATGTGCAGACACGGACTCGACTGCACGACCCTTTTGTTTTTTATTTTTTGAGTCCTCCTGTCTTGTAAACTAAGCACGCTTCATGATCACATAAAGACATGCATGTGTTGTATTACGACTTTATGTACAAGAGGTACAGTGACCTTGGTCAGGCCTGATTAGTCCTGGAGCAGTGTGAGTGCAGGCCAGCGGGGGAATGAGGAGGGCGGGCAATCATGCTTCAGCACGGTATGGGGCATCTTGGCCTAGTGTGAGTGCACCCTAACACTACAGGAGTCCTTAAGCAGAGTATTGACGTACTGGCAGGCTCTAATGCATTTTCATCAGTATTCAACTTTAAATCTAGGCTGAATTTTGAATCCTGGAACTGGAGATACCAGATTATTCTGTGCCAAGAGCCTCATCACAATATATATATATATGTATGTATGTATGTATGTATGTATGTATGTATGTATGTATATATATATATATGTATGTATGTATGTATGTATATATTTTTTTTAATACTTTTTATTTGATACTTTTTAAGAAAAATAACAAACTGTCAGAATGAGCGTAGATCTTCATATAAGTGCAGTAAGCACTTTTGTACCTATGTAGGTAAAAACATGAATCTTGGCAATCTTGTTCATATTTATTGTTTCAACTCTTCCTGTTATAGATAGTGCTATGGTTGACCATCTCTTTAAGTCCTGTTTAAGGTTGTTTTCCAGTTTGCCATAGTTGTATTCTTGTAATGTACTGAGGTCTTTGGGGATGAACACCCCTAAGTATTTAATTTTGCTTTGTTCCCATTTAAATTGATATTTCAGTTGAGTATCTTGATCTATTGGTTGGCCAATTACCATTGCCTCTGATTTATTTGTGTTTAGTTTATATCCAGAAATGCCGCTGTATTGCTTTATTTCATCCATCACTGCAGTAAGAGACTGGGTTATATTAGTTACATACAGAATTACGTTGTCCGCATACATTGCCATTTTGTGTTCTTCCTGTCCAATATGTATTCCTTGTATATTGTTATTATTCCTCATTTTTTCTGCTAAAGGTTCCATAGCTAGTATAAAGATCAATGGGGAGACGGGGTCCCCCTGCCGTGTACCTCTTAAGAGTTCAAAGGATCTCGACAGGGTGCCATTTACTCTAATCCTCGCGTTTGATGTATTGTACATCATTTGTAGCCAACCAAGAAATTTTCCATTGAAGTTACATTTTTTACTTGTTTCAAATATATAAGGCCACAGTACACTATCAAAAGCCTTTTCCGCATCGAGTGTCAACATGAGTAATTGCTGTTTTTTTTCTGAGAGTGTTCAATTATGTTTAGAGTCCTTACGTTGTCACTTATGTGTCTATTTGGAACAAAGCCAGTCTGGTCTAAATTTATAATATTAGGGATTATTTTCATCAACCTGTTTGCTAAAATAGCTGTCAGCAGTTTTTGGTCAACGTTCAGCAACAAAACTGGTCGATATGACGTAGTCTGTTGGGTCTTTGCCCTCTTTGTGCATTACTGTAATTATTGCTGAGTTCCATGTGGGAGCATACTCGTTAGTATCGAGGGCCCAGTTGTATACTTTACATAAATATGGTATTAATTCTTGTTGAAATTCCTTATAAAATTCATTTGTGAAGCCATCACTACCTGGGCATTTCTAATTTTTAGTTTTTATTCTAGTTTCTTCTAGTTCCTTCTCTGTTTTTGGTTTTATCAGCTCTGTGTTTTCTTCTTCAGTTACCTGGGGTACGTGTATATTTTCAAGGTAATTCTGGATTTTTTTTCCAGGTTACTTTGAGACTCTGGGGTGTACAACTTCTGGTAATAATTTACAAATTAATTTCCTATTTCTGTCCTGTTAAATAGATTTTTTGAGTTACTGTCCTTTATTTTCAGTATCTTTGCTTTTGTATTTTGTTTTTTCAGCTGGAATGCCAGTAACTTTTGTGCTTTTGGTCCGTTATCATAATACCTTTGTTTAGTGAAGGTTAATGCTTTTTCTATCTTTTCCAGTTCAATTTGGTCTAACTTTTTTCTGATTTGTCTTATTTCATTTAAAGTCTGCCTTTTGGGGTATTGTTTGTGTTCATTTTGAAGTCTATTTAAGGAGATTAATAATTGCTTTTTTTTTTGCTGTTCTTTTTCCTTTACCTTAAATGAAGCCAGCATTATCAGTTCCCCTCTAATTACTGCTTTAGTCCCCTCCCATACCATGATGGGGGAGACCTCTCCATTATCATTATTCTCCAAATACTCTTTTATTGCTTTCCTTATTCTGTTTTTAATGTGGGTATCATTCAAAAGTGAGTTATTAAGTCTCCAAAATCTCTATTTCTAAGTTTAATTTCACAGATATCATTGCATGGTCTGATACCTCTATTGCATCTATTTCACATTCGGAAACCTTGTCTAGATCTGTTTTAAACATAAAAAAGTTGTCCAGTCTTGAATATTTATTGTGGGCTGCGGAGTAGTAAGTGTAGTCTCTTTTGTTAGGATTTAATTTTCTCCAGATGTCAATAAGACCAATCTCAGTTTCTGCCGCTTTTAATATTTGTGAGGCCTTCTCTGCTCTATGTTTTACATTGTATTGGCAGTCTACCTTGGGATTCATGACCAGGTTTAGATCACCTCCCATAATCACTGTCCCTTTTGCCTCTAGAATGACCAAGCCTATTATTTTGGATATAAAGTCAGGCCCTTGTTCCGGTGGCTTGTATACATTAAAAAATTGTATTTCAGCATTATCTATTCTTCCTTTAACTAGTATATATCTCCCATCTTTATCTGCAATTGTTTTTTCAGTATGGAAAAGAGTGTTATTCATAATCAATATCGCTACTCCCCTCCTTGCAGAATGAAAAGAGGCTGAGTGTACTTGAGTATTTGCTAATCTTTCTAGTTTCTTATGTTCTTCTCTTGAGAGATGAGTTTCCTGGAGGAACATGACATTTCCTCCCTCTCTCTTCATCTTTTGTAGCACTTTTTTCCTTTTTATTGGGTTATTTAAGCCATTCACATTTAGTGAAGTTATCTTAATGTCCCCTGACATAATAAGATCATTTTTAATGTTTTGAGTCATATTTGTCTTCCTAACTATGTTCCCAGGCCATATCAAAAAGTAAGCAAAAGTGATAAATTGAAAATAAAATAAAAGTAACATACAATTAAATAAAATGACTTCCAATAATGCCACCCCGCTAATTGGGCAGCTTTGTTTGGTTTTCCATGTGTCTTTTGTCACATGGATCCTAGGGTCTATAAGCGGTTGTGACCCTTTGCTTATCAAAATAAAAAAGTGTCTGTTACAACACATAATGAAATACAGCAGAAGTAGGCTTTTATAGCCCCTTCCACCTCGGTGCCTCTAATTTCCCTATTTTATTCCTGTATTTTTTTACCTTAAGGCCTAATTTCTGCATCATCAGGAGGCATGTTTTTCCAAGAGCCAAACTAGTCAAAACAAAAAAGCAATATTAAATTAATTTGATCATACATATACAAGTGAATGATTTCATGTTAGTAAGTTCATTTTAATAAGGTAGAGACAGATTCAACAGTTTAGAACTAATTCTGATAACACCAATTTTTAAATGCTCTTTTTAGCTAACTCACCCTTGCCCATTATTTTCATTTGTTTGTTGATAATTGATCAAATTGTATTATTTTATTTGTGCTAGTTTCCATTTAAGGCAAATTATACGCTCGTCTAATATTTATACTTATGTATAAGTGTCACCCCGTCCCCTTTAAGTCAGGGTGAAGAAAAGGGGGCGGTATCGAAATTACATTATTTTTCTGACACTAAGAGAATTAAAGAAAATCATCGTTGCTCCTTAATCTGAGCTAATTTATTAGTATGTTAGGAGAAAGCAGAAATTCATCATAGTCCCCTGCACATTAGTTTTTAAATGACCATAAAATCTATTCAGTGAAGTTTATATTTACGACAAGCATTCAGTCAAAGTTTAAGCATATGCAGGGGGACAGAGAAAGTCTCCCGATAAACGCGGGATTAGATGTACCGAGTCATACATACCAACCAGTACACCGTTAGAAGTTGTCTTCTTTAAACTTAAAACAGTTTTCCATTTTTTTTTACTTGTGTCTCCGTCCAGGTTCTGCTATCTTGGCTCTGTCCAACACCGTATTTCAGTCTTCATGACATTGTTAGGTTTAAGTAACTTAAAGTAATGGAAAGGCTAGATTTATATATAGTTAATGCTTCTTCTTTTTTTATTATTTACCAGATTTACTCCACATATGACGGATTTCCTACCTACATCAAAAGCCATTAGTCTAATTGTCCTGAAACTCCTCATGCGCGCTCCTCTCCGCCTTGCGTCTTCGCTGCCGTTCCCCCTTGGATGCATGTGTTTTCCAAAAGTCTCCTTCAAGCAGCTTCTCCTCCAAGTCAGCAATGTGACATCTTGGGATCTGTATATCCAGGGCTTTACCGGCTGCATAGGCGTCTTCATAGATGTCTATTCGGTCTTTTTCAAACACCTTTAGCCTTGCTGGGTAGATTGTGTGGGATTTCACCTGTCTTTCCTGTAAGTGTTTTCTGACTGGGTGCAGTCGGTTTCGTTCCTGTTGGATTTTAGTAGTGAAATCCTGGTCAAAAAAGATTCTTGTGCCCTGCAGTAGGATTTCTCTTTTCCCCCAAGCCGATCTGAGAACTTGTTGTCTTGTGTCCCAATCAACAAAAGAGACAATAATCGAGCGTGGTCGAGGCCGATTGTTTTCTGTGCGCTTACTTGCTGCGGCACGGTTTGCTCGTGAAATTTTCTCTTGAGCTTGTAGTCCCAGTTTGTCCTTAAGCAGGCCTTCCAAAAAGTGGATCATGTCTTCACCCTCTGCTCCTTCCTTCACATTATAGATCCGGATGTTATTTTGTCTTGATTTATTCTCCAAATAATCCAGTTTATTGGTTGTCTCTTTCAACTTCATCATTAGGAAATTATTGATCTCATAAAAAACTGTCTCTGGAAACTGGAAAGTGCCAGTCTTTCCTCCACCTCCTCCATCTGTTCTCTGGTGTCTTTTATTTCTCGTTTCACCTCTTTAATATCTTGTTGTAGTTCAGAGAAAGCTTGCTTTGTTTCCGTCTGGAAGTCTTTGAAGTCTTTTCAGAAGTTGTCCAATTTAGAGGAGATTTCGTCGGGAAACTTTTGGAGTAATTGTTCCATCTCGTGTTCTTTGTCTGTGATTTGTTTGTGATTTTGTGATTTCTTTCCCGTCTTCTTCTCTGAAACTGAGATTGCTCCTGAGCGCAAATTCATTCCCTTATGAGGATAGGCCTTTGGTTTTCCCTTTTCGTTTCGAACATGTTATATATTTATCAACTTAGACCGAGGTGATAGGGAGCTCGAAACTCACGCTGCCATCACTTGCGCGCGTCCTCCGGAAGTCCTCCATCATCACAATATATTTAAAGTGTAGGAAGTATCTTTTATATGGACGTTTCAGCGTGTGAAGCCTCGACTGCTCTTCTGTCCTCAGATTCAAAATGTTCTCCTCTGCTCCTGTTCTGTTTTCTTCATGGGCCAGAAATCCATCCAGACTTCACGCCTGACAACACCTGCAATGATAGATAATTAATCAGAAAATGCTACAGCCCTTGTGTATTTGATATGTCTTTGACATACAAGATTTGAAAAATATGCTGCAGAAAAATGCCTTTTTTTTAGTGTGTCAACACACTAAAACAAGCTTCCTTCTTTTCAATCAAAACATCAATAATTTAGTTCAGAAAAAAAAAACACTTGACACACTGAGACCCAAGAGGCCTCGCTCAAGTCGCTGACGAAATCAATGAATCAGTCTGTTTATAGCTCTTGAGTTGTGGATCCGTGGGGGAAAGAAGCTGGATCACAGTGGCAGATTTATTTTTTTTAACTTGCAGCAAACTCATAAAATACTCTGCCTAAGTAGTACGCATCTTCTTACTTCTTACTCTCAAGTTATCGTTTAAGATCTGATGAAAAGAAAATTATTATTTTTCTGGCTTTGTATGGAGCGACTGGCCTTGTTCTGTTCAAGGCATCTTCCAACATCTGTCACATTGAAGTAACTGTTCTGAGGTTAAAGGAAAAGTTCATTCTGAGGCTGGATAAAAAAACTAGTGTAACTGTTAGGTGGGGGTTGTTTCTGATGTATAAATCCAATGAAGAAATCGTGAAACAGACTGGAGATTATAACACCATTTAATCGGCCGAGGTCAGACAACTTCATCAAACAAGCATGCTTCCAAATCACTTGACTGACAAAGTACTGACAAAGTAACAGTGTTCACAGTGCTGCTTATGCTCAAAAAGGTGCAACCCACAAATTCCTTTCTATTTGGGTGCATCACCATAAACAGTGAAGATGACATGACACTGATTTGTATACTAACAGATGTAGACTCTCTGTCTAGCAAACAGTTGCTGACAACATATAGTTGGCGCCTCTCCATACATAGATCTGCTACTCCTTAGGTGCTTCACTCATATAAGGTTACAGCTTCAGACACCTAAAGGTAGCAGTGTTAACATGTGGTAGGCAGACTTGAATAATACATTCACAAAGTTACCAAGATGAATGAATTTCATGAAAATTCGTACTAACAGTAACATAAAAACAGCTAGAAGAGGAAGATAAAAAGGCATTTAAAGTAGAAAAATATATTCCTTCCATTCTCTGCACAAGGATTGATGAACTATTACTTGTCTAGAATAATTGAAGGCATTATACCCCTGTAATACCTTTATTTATGAAGTGAACTTTTCTATGTTTTCTATGTCTGTGAAAACTGAAAACAGCCTTGCTTGTATTAAATTCTTAGTGAGTAACGATCTGCCTCTCTCCCAGCTGGTCTTCTGTCTGGATCACACTGTTCGTTTGAACTGGATACCTGTGGCTGGTCCGTGTCTAACCATCACTCAGCCTGGCGAAGGGTCACTGGAGACGAGTTTCTGGAGGAGGGAGACATGCAGGGTGTAGCTCTGCAGCGTACACCAGGTTAGCCAATCAGTGTTTGTGTCTGTGTGTGCAGTATGTGTGATATGGTCCAATTAACACCCTGATTTTATCAACATCCCGATGGTGAAACAGAGGATCATTCTAATGAGTATAATGGTGTTGACGGATAGAAATTGAAAATAAAATTTTTTCTCGATTTCTTTAAAGCAGATACTTTAGATTTACTAAGCATCAAAACCAGTTATTTATGTCCAACTTGTTTATTTTGTACCATATACTGTAGAAGTATTCTACCATATGAAATGTCTGCACATGACCCAAGTGGAGTTTATATGCATCATTTAAATCCAGCTGCAATAGTGTTACAATTATCCTTTAATACCATTTTAATTTTATAGGCCTCTAATTTTAGTCCAGCAATAAAACAGGTCCAATTAGTGTAGCTTCCAATAATACTATAAGAATACTATAGAATCTCTGATTTCCATCATTTGGAAGAGAGTTATTTCATTAGCTGGTTAGCAGGTTATTTTTTGTAGGTTCTGCTGAGTGACTTTCACTCTGTGGCCCCCAGGGCACTTTCTGTTTCTGCAGGTAAGAGAAAGTAATCCTCTTCGAGAAGCGTCCATTCAGAGCTCCCCTTTTCCTCCTCCAGTGTCTCCCGCTGCATGTCAGGTCAGTTATTTAGACAGAGACAATTACAATGTGAATACGTACGCTTAGTCCTTATTTGCCAATTTTCTGTGCAGGTGCGATTTTCTTTGTACCTGTACGGGGACTTTAACGGTTCGTTGGTGGTGGCAATAGAGAAGAATGGGACCTCCACCGCACCACTTGTCTGGGAGAAAAATGGTCAGTGGACGGATGACTGGGAAGACGTCGCCCTGCAGCTGACTGGTCTTCATTATGGGTACATATAGAAAGCAGAAATGGCTGTCATTTGCTAAATGAGGCTACTTCTTTACTACAAGCTGTTTTTGTACACATATTGGAATTGAATTGCTGTTGCTTTTCGTTTAAAGACAAAAATTGAAAATCTCCCAATACATCTATATGGTATGTGCTTGTGCTGCAGGTTCCACGTGAAGGTGACAGCTGTGTGGGGGGAAGGTTCTAACGCTGATGTCGCTCTTGATGACATTGCCGTTGGAGCAGCCTGCTTTAACAAAGGTGCACTGTAGTTTTCATACTATCAATGAATACTTTCGACAGTAACCGAACAGCTAGCATTAAGTTGTGTGTAAACAAAGGCAATAAAGAAGAAGACTGCAAGCAAAACACCATGGTTGTAAACAAAAACATACATTCAGTGACTCAAAAACCAGCTTTGTAATTATCCATGAGGAAGAAAATCAATCAGTTTGTCTGTTAATCTCAGATATACAAAAAATTTGTTTTGGTCAGAGACATGAAATCAAAGCATAACTTTTGATCGTTTGCAAGAACACTCCTGCAGAGCACTTGTGGCCACAGAGACCACTAGATGCAAATGTCACGTCGGCTTCCTTTATGGCTTTTAAGACTTAAAAGCTAATGATGCCCCCAAAGGATAATACATCTGTCTGAGCGGCAGTATCCAGTTTCTCTCCTAATTCCTTTTGAAATAAACCCTTTACTTTATGAAATCTAACTGATGCTGAGTAAAAAATAGGAGAGCAGAGGAGTACAGGAACTTCACTGTTCAGACTGTCGACTGCTGTCTTTAGCTCTGAGCTGTGCAGGCTCGAAAGCAATTCTTTAATGCGCAGTTTCAATGTGTGAGTGTTTGAAGAAGGATAACCAACAATGTATGCTTTTTCTGTAAACGCTGTACCGCAAAATGTGCGCCAACATTCCTGAGTCAACGTTGGTTTAGCGTTTGGTCATTCTTTCAGACAACCTTGAAAAAGGAAAAATATTGTTTCTGCCCTCTTTGAATGCTCTTGGATGGATTGTATTACTTTGAATGGTACCAGAATTAATACTCTGTCAGATTGAAGTTCCGCTCTTGGATTAAAGGAATATGTCTGTTTTTGTTTGAGTGTGATCCAAGTGAAGCATTCTTCTATATATTTGTTTAAAACTCGTGTGTTGCTCAGCTCCAGTTGTGCAACACATTTTCTTATCGCTACCATGATCAGTACAGGACCCTGGAACTTTTTTAGTAAAATAAAACTTTGGCTAATATTTCTCCCTGTATCACATTTATGATCGCTCTGTTCTGCCATTGTTTCACGCTGGAGAGGCTCCTGTGGTGAACGAAGACCAGGGAGGCTCTCATTGCTTGCGCAAGGTCATTGATTCTGTATTTGTTTCATGGAAGACCCGTGTGGAGGACAGTGTAGTGGTCACAACATTTTGGTTTGAGAGAAGTGCAAATAACACTCTGCTGTTAAACATTTACAAAAACAACAAGTGGAGCGACGAAGCATGCAACATTCAGGACGTCTGCATGCGACATAGCGGATGAAGAGGACTGAGGGATTCATACACTCATGTGTTCCTGCTGAAGAATTAGTGTGAGGAAACCGTGGTAACCTTTCGTTGGAACTGTTTTCTTCCCCCATTAATTTGTGTGGCATAAAGATGTCATGCTTCAGTGATACCAGTGACTCCTTTTCTCTGTCCCTTTCTCAACCTGGACTTCTTCCCTCTCCTCAGATCTCAACTCTCTCTTTACCATGGAGGACTTTGAGGATTTTTTAAGCCCTCTTCCAGAGCCTTCAGCCTCAGGTAAGTCCAGTTGTCTCCTTGGATAGGTTGAAGTGTACCTCGTCTCTTTAATCCCTTCTAATCCGTTCAGCATACAGAATTTGCGTAACAGGTGGTGGTTTGTGCCCTCTACGATAGCTAATACTTATACTAATACTCTTTAACTTATATATGCAGCTGACCAGAATCTTTAATGTATCCTGCATTCATCTATACCAGGGCTTTATTGCAAGTTACAGTTACTCAACTAGATGCTTGGCTACATGTATGCTTTCGTTTCCATTGTTTAAAATTGAATCCAGGTCAAACACACTTTCTTCACGTCTAATTTCCCCCCCAAAACATGATATACAGTATCTCCAAATAACTCATGAATGTGTTCCCTTTCTCTGTCTTGATTGCTCCAGAGGTTTCTTTGATGACGTGGTGGTTTAACTCATGCGGGGCCAGCGGTCCCCGCGGTCCGACCCAGGCCCAGTGTGACAGCACCTACAGGAACAAAAACGTCAGCGTCACTGTGGGAAAGGAAGGCTCTCTGAAAGGCGTCCAGATATGGAGGGTGCCTGCGACCAACAGATACCTGTAAGTGATCATCTTTAAGGTGGGAGCCAACTGGTCAGATATTCGTGCAGGTCGAAATCTGGTGACATTCTGTATATTTTAACTGCCATACTTGATCCCAAAAAAATAAAGGTATATGGCTTTAAACTAATGACATTAGTCAGTGAAGCAGCCGTCCTGTAGCTCTGGTCAACATGATCCTTGATTACAAATACCTTGATCACTGTAGTTTATTTATAGCGATACCAGATAAACTCTCCTGACGGATGAATACGCACAAGCAAAAATATTCACAGCTGAGAAGAGTTACCACAAAAATGTGCGTTTTTTTAAGTCCTTACTGAGGAAACACTACAGTGCACAGGGGATTAATGATATAACAATGATTAAACATAATCAATTTAACATCGGCCACACGTCAAAGAGAATATAATGAGCTTATTTGATTTGAAAGAGTTATTCCAGTTACCAGCGTTATTTTGATAGATGGAGTTGTACTGTTTTTTTTTTCACGCTTTGAATGTTATTCTGAATGTTATCCACAGTATTTCTAGGAGCTCATAAAACAGATAATATTCCTCTACATGTATTCATACTGTTGTTTCTACAGAGGGGGGAAATGAAGAGGCATGAGTGCGTGCTCTGGGGGCCGAATTATTCTGCCAATTGATTGTTGTTTTGCAAGATCAAAACTTCCAGCAATTTGATTGTCTTTGCACAGCCAGTCATGGGACCTTATTATCACGCTAACGGATGACATAAGAAGAAGGCTGCAGAAAAGTGACAATGGATTTACAGGGTGTCGAGCTAAATTACACACAGCTGCACTTCATGCCAACACCATCAGAGAACGTCTGTTTTCGAAGAGGAAACTTAAAACCACATGTGGCTGTGGCTGTGGCTGCGTGTATGACAGAAGCCTTCAGCCATTTGCTCTGGTGTATTTATATAGCACGATATAAACTGTGAGGCCTGAGCGAAAAAGTAATATCTTTTAATCACAGTATTCAATTCTCCTGTGGTGCAACACTTTCCCTTCAGGATCTCTGCCTACGGGGCTGCAGGAGGGAAAGGAGCCAAAAACCACAACAAACGCAACCACGGGGTTTTCATATCCGCCATCTTTCCTCTGGAGAAGGGAGATGTTCTTTACATCCTAGTGGGCCACCAGGGAGAGGATGCGTGCCCAGGGGTGAGTAGGGTGAGAGCAAGGACAGACTCTTAAGGATGTGTGTGTTAATCCCTCTGGGTAACCTTTTACCAGGGAGTCAAAAGTGTGACCTTGATTTAAAGAAATCTTGCCTGCTGGGTTCATTCTTTTCTGATGCACACTTCTGAAGTTGAATTTCCCTCTCCCTGTCTTGTGGTAGAGAAATCCCCTAACCCAGAAAATCTGCCTGGGAGAGTCGTCTGTGATTGAAGACAACCTCAGTGAAGAGGCTGGTGCAGAGTGGGCGGGTGGAGGAGGTGGAGGAGGAGGAGCAACCTACATCTTTAAGGTGATTGAAGATATTTTGTGTAGTTTCAGAATTGTTTTCCCTTTCTGTTTGTTTGTTACCTCGCGGGGAGTAAGTGCACATAATGCGAGTCATATAAATGTTTGTTGACATATCAACGATTGAGCAGGGTGGTTTGAAATGTAGATAAGACAACATCTAAAGGTTGGGAAGTGTATCATAACAAAAGAACAATTCAAATGATTGTTTCTTATTTCTATTCTGCTCTCCCATCTGTAATTGATTTCATGAGAAGGATTAACAGCGATGCTGTCTTTCAGATGGAGGGAGGGGAGCTGGTTCCTTTGCTGATTGCTGCTGGCGGAGGAGGAAATGCATATATGGAAGACCCAGAGTCCAGTTCTGACCAGATTCCACTGGAGCAGTATGAAAACAGCACCATAGCTCCCAGTACGAGCGGTCGAACTGGTGCTGCAGGTAGAATTTGTTCTGTTCAAGGACAGAAATCTGTCTTTGAGGTTACTGCTTCTACCCTGACACAATGTAAAGCTGAACGGATTTAGAGCTCACATTAATCTGAATAAATGACAGGAGTTGTTTTATTAGTTCTTTAATCAAAAAGTATTTACAGTGACGGTTGAAAATGTTGTTTTAGTCATTTGGAGTAAGTGTTTTGTTGAGAACCTTTAAAGGGCTTTTCCCCCCCAGAATTATGCCAATGTCATGAGCAAGAATCTTAAACTTTCATAAAAATACACCTTTTACATGGATAAAAACATACTCGTGTGTACATTTTTGTATGTGACGAGTTGGAGACTTGCTTTTTGAGAACAGTAGAAATCACGTGAAAAAGGAAAGGAAACCCTAAGGTCACATTGTAATTACAGAATGATTCAAAACTTCTCGATCAGTTCGTATTTTGCTGATATAATTTGGTATGAGGATGAATGAGAAACCCCCCCACAAATGAAACCTGACAGCACAGTGTTTGTTTTATAAATGTATGACATTGACATATGTTGCAGTGTTTCCCCTACCATTTTTATTAAAAAGCTGTAAACCTATGGGAAACACTGTGTTGGTATTAGCACTAAGCACTAAGGTTATGGGTAGCACTAAGGTTTGGCTGCAGACTCAAGTGTTTGACTACAAAGATGTCAAATGTCTTTGTCAACAACAAGCTCCTTTTTTTCTACTCAGTTGCTGAAATGCATGTAGCCTTCAGTGACATCGAGCTTATATGTGATTGAGAGCATGCTTTTCATTTTTTCTAAGAGGCCATAGAGACATGCTGGCTAAAAAAACAAGACGATCTGTCTGTTCAAACGCTCGCAGTGTCATGGGTTTGCACGCATACTTGCTCTCACACAGCGGAATGTCTTTGACCTGTGGAAAATGGGATCATTCTGCATCATATTTCATTTCTCTTTTTTTCCTTTAAAGAAAGACATCCACGGCAGAGCAGTTTCTCTTAGCTACTTGAACTTTCTTAATCTCCTTTAACCAACAGCAACTCAACAAAGAACATCTATCAGCTCATTGTACCAAACCCTCCATGGGACTGTTTTAGATACTGTTACAGATCTGAGTGAGGAAAATGTAGCTCTGGGTACAGGATGAGTTTGTGCGTGCATATTTGTGTGGCTTGATGTTGAGCTGGGTCTGGAATTTCTGAAACAGATCACTCAGCCATCAAATGAGAACTTCTGGTGATAGTTAAAGAACTGTCAAACATTAAGAACTCATTCTGGACATACCTATATGATATATTTGGAAGCTGCTTTGATCTGCTCCCTGCTTTAAATCGGTGGTGATTCAACATGTCCTCTCTATATTTTTTCACGGTAGAAAAGGGCGATATTTCAGTTCCAAAGTGTGAATATAAAGAAATGTCAATGAAACACCTGTTGAGCGTGGCTGTGGGTGTTAAGTGCTAAGCTCAAGGCAACAGCAGAAACCTCTTTTCCAAGGAAACTGAATGACTGACCCTCACAGGTCTCCCCACCAACTGCTGGTGAACAAACAAAAGAATCACTACCAAAAAGCAGTGGACAGCATAATTGGCTGTTTTCTCCCAGTGGAGGTTTTGGCACCTCTTCTAATTTAGTCTCAACGAGACTGAACTCTTTCCTTGAAACATGTCTCCTTGCTGAGACTTCGTGATAGGTCCTAACACACAGGGTTGGGCTTGATTTGGTGTCTGAACAACAAGTCCATCAGCTCTCTCCTGCTGTATGACTCTGCAGCTAATTCAAAGTGCTCTGTCAGATTTACAGCCTCCAGTAAGAGCTGAGGAGAGCCGCAGCTCTTACTGCAGAGATGACTGCTCATGGTCAGCCCCTGTCTTTTAAAACACCATGAAAACAGCTGATCAGACATTTAACACATTTGACAGTAGAGGAAACTCCTCAGACGTTACACTTTCACATCACTTTACGAGTCATGAGATGAACTAATCAGCCTTTAAAAAAAAATAAAGTTGTGTAATGTCCTTTGTGGCTCTGGAGAATTAAAGGTCAATGAAACTCAAACATACAGACTTGACTCTTTAACTTATACACTTAACTTAAACATACACTCCAGCAACAATTACAAAATGTGAAAATACTTCTCAGAAAACAACCAGCTGGCTGTTGCCAACATATGTGTATTTATTTTATATTTATGTAAAGGGTCTTTAATCAGGGAAATATACAGAGCATTAAATAGTGCCTTGCTCAAGGGCACCTGGACAGTGCTCAGGAAGTGAACTGGCACCTCTCCAGCTACCAGAACAATTTCCTTACTTGGTCTGCGTCGGTTCTTGAACTGGCAACTCTCCCAACCTGGTCCCGACAGACTGAGCTACTGCCACCCTTGTTTTGATTGGTGCTGGGTATTTCTGACCCATCCTTTTTGTGTTTCTTTGTAAACGCGGGCCTGGTGGTCTTTGTGTCTCATCTGTAGAGAGTTCTTTGGTGTTTAATTTAGTTTCTTGTCAGCTGCTCAGTAGCTGTGTTTTTGTTTCTCCTTATCTCAGGGAGCCTATTTGTTTTGCTTGTAACTATTTAATCACTGATTTTAGTGGTTATACCTCTAGGATAACTTTAAGATAATTGGATCTGCAATTGTGTCCCACTCCCCCGTACTAGGACGATCTATGCTAGGCATGTTTAAATCAAGCCGTCTGGATCCCAAACTGACATTACTGATACTCAAAATATAACTTTATGACAGGAATTTGCATGAAAATCACGTAGCATGAAGCTTTTAAGGTGCAGTGATTTCCAGGAAGTGAAGATATAACAAAATTAAAACACAATTGCATCCTTGAAAAGCTTATCTGTGGCTGTGCATCAATTTCAACCTCATTTTAATTCAATGCTCAACTTCACATTCCCCTAACATTTTGAAAAGCCAAGACTTGTAGTGAAGTATTTTTAAAGTTGTCCCTGCAGGTTCACATTTGACAACAAACCAATAGAGTTTAGCGGCATTGTGTTTCTGTTTTTATAAGCTATAACCTCCCCCCCACACACACACATACACACACACTAATATGTGTAATATCAAAGTTTTTAACTTTGTGTATGTTTTGTGTTTCCTGAAGGTGGAGGAGGAGGCTGGAAGGACAGTCCCAGTGCTAACCTGAGGGCAGGAAAGTCTCTGGTGGAGGGTGCTGAGGGGGGGTCATCGTGTCCCCTTGCCCTGTCCAAACTCAGCTGGTCCACCTATGGGGGCTTTGGAGGTGGAGGTGGAGCTTGCACAGCAGGAGGGGGTGGAGGAGGTTACAGAGGTGACATTAATCTCTCAGCTATCCTAGCTACTGCTTTACAATCATCATGTGTGTGACATGATGATTTCACTTTCTTAAAGTGTTTATGTGACTTCTGCTTAGTAAATGCTTGTGTGGCGGCTGTCTACAGTTGACACTTTACAGGAATTACATAATTTCAAGAGGGAAAAAATGGCGACAAACTGACATCTATAAACAGATTTTTAAATGGTTTTGACATAATTCATAAAGCTGTCTGAATGGAGTGATCACAGCATCATTTTCCTTTGACAGGAGGTGACGCTGCGGTGACAGATGAGATCACGGCTGACGGCCAGAATGGAATCTCGTTTATTCATCCAACAGGAGAGATTTTCCTTCAGCCTCTGGCAGGTGAGACTGACGCAGCTCATCACTTCAAGATGGACTGAAGTCAGTGATGCTTATTCACAAAGCGTGCAGAATAGAAAATAGAGGAGGACAGAAAAATAAAGAGGAGAGTAGGTACAATATTTTAGTGTCATAAGTTACTTCAACTTGACTTGATGTTTTTCTTTGTCAAACTAGAAACTAGAGTAAAATCAAGGTGGACTACACCAGAGTAAAAATAATAGAGACAAGTCGAGGAAAGAGAAAACATTTACTAAAGAAATCCTGGACATGCCGATGAAATCTCTGGAAAAGCTTGGAAATAGTTGATAAGAATCCTCACACAGAGTTTACTTCAAAACTAGATATGTAAGAAAAAGAATGAAGTAGAGTCCAGGGTTACTTGTAAAGTAGAATTGAATAACCAATGAAGGCTATTATATGGTGAGGGCTGTTTTGTCGCACCAAAAGAGGCTGTTTTGAATGAGTGCAGCTAAAGATGGGCGGTCGCATTGTGGATCTTCTGCTAAAGGCTACCTCACTATAAATGAAATGCAAAAAAATGATTTAAAAAAATCACAAATGAAAAGAAACACTGATGAAAAATAAAAATCTTAAGTGAAGAAATTACTTGGACAAGAAATGGTGTGACATGATGCGTGTTATTTCTACTCTATTAAACAGACATGCTGGGGAATCACAGGCTATGAACTCAGATGTCATTGTTTTTTTTTAATCTTTCTGTATTTCATTAAAGGTTATGTAACACGAAGTTGCATCACAGCTTATAGTCTTTACGGGAACAAATAACACTCGACATGCTTGATCCCAGAGCAAAGAGTCACTGCTGGTGTAAAGATTAAATCCTGAGCTCTTGGCTTTCTGTGCACTTAGCTCTCCAAGCAATTGATCCAGCCAATACCTCAGAGTTTACCTGTGTGTGTGTGTGTGTGTGTGTGTGTGTGTGTGTGTGTGTGTGTGTGTGTGTGTGTGTGTGTGTGTGTGTGTGTGTGTGTGTGTGTGTGTGTGTGGGTTTGTACCTATTTGTGCAGAGTTATCTGCCTCATCCCTTTGGGCCTACACTCTTGCACATTCATATGTGTGGACATGGTTTTTTCCCCTCCTATTTTCTTGAGACTACCAACCATCTGATTCTCATTATGCAGTGGGAGGAACAGGAAGGCAGTCGACTAATTTAAAGCCTCATGTAGCCTGTTGCCCTCGGACAGACAGTCCTTCATTCGCATGTGAAAGAGGCTGTTGTTGCTGCTGCTGCTGCTGCTGCTGCTGCTTGTGTGCGCTGCCCCTCATCAATATCCAACACAAGGACTGCATCTGCAGTGTTCAAAAAGACATTCAAAGCAAGATGCAAACAAAGAGATTAAATTAAGTGGTAATAATTGAATTTAGAGAAAAATATGTTTTTTTTGTCTGTAATCTTGTTAAATCATCTTCTGGCCTTTAAGGAGATGATGAGCTTTAATATATTACTCACATGGCACAAGCCTTATTCATAAATATCAATCAAGAAACAAAGGAACACTGTTTATGTCACCGATAAATGTTCAGTTAATAAATAATGATACATAAATGTGTTATAGAACTATTTTATTACTCTGCTTACATCTTTTTTTTAATACCACATACACCCTTCATACATCTGGAGCACTTTTCTTTCCCCTTTAGTTTTTGATTAAAAGTTGAAATGATGGTTGCAGGCACAGTGACGGAACATGTTGCAAAGACATGTCATTAATGTCATGAAAAACAAAAACAAAGCATCACTCTGTGTGTGAAATATCACCATCTAAGGGTGACCTCCCTCTCTGTCAAGTAGTTTGAGTCCAATGCTTTGTTGCATCCTTTTGTTGAAATGTGTTCACGTTGTTTCTCCAGCCATGGAGAGTCACGGCGAGTGTGAGATCAAGGTGCAGCTGAACTGCAGCCACTGTCAGACACAGAGCTGTAAACGGGATGAAGACACCCACCTCGTCTTGTGTCTCTGTGAAGATGACGAAGTCCTGGCCAGCGACAATGTTACATGCACCCGCACAGTGGGTACGTAATCATGTGAAACAGTTCAGCTCCTCTGATTCCTTCCCCAACCAAGCAGACAAAGTAAATATCCTACAGGCTGTTTTTAAGTCTGCTCTCTTGTTGTCTACTCTCAGCAGGTTCCCAAGGCTTGGCTCCACAGGGCCAATTGTCCTCGTCTTTGATCTTGGCAGTCGTGGCCTCCACCATAGCGAGCGGAATCGCTCTGATCTGCGCCGGCGTCATCCTAAGTAAGAGATGCTTCCAGTTCTGTGTGCAGTCTGTGCCCTCCACCTTCAACCGGCTGTGAGCACAAGCTGCACAGACAGATTCTTCCAGATGTTACTGACTACAGAAAAAAAGGAACACCTTTGATAACTTTTGGTTCCAAAGCCCTTCTCTGGCTGGGAGCCAGATTACAAAAAGAGCTGCAGAGAGGTATGGCTCTGGGTGATATGTTGGTAAAACAAAAGAAGCGAGCACAAACGGACACTTAAATTACAAGCACTTATTTCAGCTCTCCTTTTGTAGCAGGTGAATACTGTACATTCATGACTGTCTTTGGGGGGCAAAGAGTATTTAGCTGAAGTTTTAAAGTGAGATAATGAGTTTGATTGCGGTTAAATATCACATTATTTTATACTGTATTTAATGCAAACCTATTATTCCAACAGACACTTAAACAGTAGAGATGTACTATCGGGATTTCCGCGTGTGACTTTGACATCAAATACATTTTGGGCTATTAAAGGCAGGAACAGAGGTTTGACATTTAACCAAGAAGTTCCTCTCAGTTGGAGATGTGCACTGATGAGTGAGATTTGATGACAGTAAAATGTCAAGCGTTAAGATTGAGTGGCTCAAAATGTAGACATACAGATTTGAACATCATGGGAAAATAGAGGAGAGTGACAAAAAAAAAAAAAAGCTTTCAGTTACTTTGGGAATTGCACAGTGGCAACAAGTTGTTGTTTTTTTTAACCCTCGGGCATTGAGTACCAGGACTCACACGCAGCACTGTGATGTGGTACTGACGAGAAGTTGGGCATCTGTTTTGGGATGAAGACATAACTAGAGATCTCTTTGATCATTTTTTGATCACTCATGATTCTTGCACAGGTCGACTTCTCCGTATAGGAATAACTAGGGAATTAATAGTATATTATTATAATAATTTTTGTATTTTTAATTTTACTACTCTGAGGCAAAAAGACAAAAGACGAAAAACTAGTATGTAATATGAACAATTAATATAGCATTATCTAATGATATTCATGTTGCATTGGTGTTCACATGGCTCAGAATATATTTCTTATTGTTGACTAATTTACTAAATCTTTACTCAATAACTGGCGCCATATAACACTATAAATAGAGTTTAATTGCAGTGTTAAGAACAACATACGCTTCAACCATAAAGGAAAGTGAGGGATTATTCGCAATTAACGTTTTTTTTTTTGCACATCTGTCGTCTTTTTGACAACCGCCTGCTGTAGGTACTTAGGAAGGGAATCGTGACAGTTTGGTCGACCCCTTAATTCTCCATCAAGAGCTGTTCAGGGTGTTGAAGTAAAGCAGAGACTCTCGTGTCCTCTCCATCACCTCACTGAGAGTGCAGAATAATAAGTGGAGCTCACTCTTGAAGACTGGCTCTCTCTTTCCCACAGTCAGTTTTTCCTGAATCTATACTTTGTGTAGGGGTCTCTGGAGAAATCAGCACGTGAGCTCTGTCTGGAATGAGATCGAGGCATTACAAAAAAAAGCAATTTTGGTTTTGAGTTAAGTGATACATGCAGTTAACCTCCGGCATGAAAAGTGAGAATTAAAAATAAGTAAAGGGTATTAAATGAGCAATATCTCATATTTCTCATTGGAGCTGAGCTAAGGAATGTCAGTTTTCTTGCCAACCTTAGAAATATCTGATGGCCTGAGAAGACAGTTTGTATGGAGCTGCATTGTACAGTATCACAACATTTTCTGTATTACAGGAACACAGGAAATGAAAGCGAATCAGCAGATCAGAAAAATGTCACATCCTGACGACCACTCACTTTTTATTTTGAACCCTTTTTGAGCTTTAATTTGGTGATAGACTGTGCATCAAAATATCTCCCGATTTCATATGCAGAGCACATTCATACTCTCATGAGGATGACTGTCATATTCTTAATGGACCACCAGAAAGAAAACATACACATCTTCACTGGTGAACCTTTAAGAACTAAGAGATCATAAGCTTGTGTTTTTAATTGCCCAATACTTCAGTATTACAAAGGTTCAAATAAAACAGGTAGATTACCTCCTACTCAGTTGATTACAAGATGATAGTTATAGACCCTCATATTAGATTGTTATTATTTCGATGTAAATTCAATTTGTGAATCACTTGTAGTTTGAAAACTATTGGTTTGTGTGCAAAAATAATAATATTAAGATAATGAACATCAGAGAAAAAACAATTCTTTCTCCTGATGATGCAGATGATCAAAACAGTTATGGGCGATTACTGTTTTTTTTAGGAGGTGAGTTGTTTAGGGAAAGATGCAAAAATGTTAATATTTTATACTATGGAGCAAAGCTTGTGCATTAAAGTGCAGGTGAGGTTAAAAGGTCGGTATGTAATTTTCTTCAGATACACGGTGTCATACATATTCACTTTGTGCAAACGGAGTATAATCAAACAGATATTAATTGCAGATGAGATGATTGTTTCAAACAGCCGTCAAGGGAAACTGCATGATACTGTACTCATGTAATTACCAGACAAAGTGCAAACTAAACTGACTTCTACACACAACATAATCGGGAAAACTTTATTATTTTTTTTTTTTATGAAAAATTATTGATCTACTCAGTCTGACTTCTGCACTAACTACATTGTGTGTAAATGTGTGAATTTAGAAGTGAATAAATCAAATACTAAAACAAAAACATGACTTTTCTGCTCTTACGTATTTGTTCACACCAACACACAAGCTTCAGGCTAACGGTGTCTCTTCACCTGAGATTTCCCCCATGCAGGGAGGTAGTCTGTTCCCTGGGCACCCCATCGTCTCCTCCCCTTCCTCTTACTTCTCCTCAACCTACTCCCGCTCCAATTCCCCCCCCTCTGAGTCACTAGCACCTGCACCGGGCGATGGCTCGACGGCACCTCTTACCTGCACGCAACACCCCCCTCCCTGGCAGACTACCAACCTGCATCGGGGATGTGGGCTGCCTCCACGGCGGGTGAGTCCAAAACTCACTGGCACAGACAGACTAGGAGCAGTAACCAAGGAGAGGACATCCCACATGAATCCTGCAAATATATAACGTTTGTGAGTGGAAGGACTTGTCTTCTTAAAGGAGAACTCCACTGATATCCAGCATCTACATGTGAATACTGGTCTTGGGAGATTCTTCTACATTCATCAAAAAAGGCTTTTGCAACTCCAGCATGAGCTGTGCAAAGTCTTATAAATTGATGATGTCACTCAGTTACTCACTTTAGTAAGGCTCCAAGTTGAAACTGAAAATAAAAAAACGTTTGGTTTGGATTTTGAATTGATCGGTGATCAGATCAGTGTGGTTTTCTTACAACAGTTTCCTACTGCTGCAAAGTTGATGCGGCTTGACCCCTCCTTGTGTAACTGCTCTTACAGTTAGCAAATAGTCAGGAGGTTGCTTCTACAACTTGTATGCAAGTGTGGGGTCCAGTAAGGGTAATGAGTTTTAAAAGCATTCTTAGCTGTTTAAGTTCTACAAACCCGTCTCTGTCTTGTTTTTGTCTTTAGTGTGGTACCGCAGGAAGAACTACCTGCTAGCAGTGAGGGGACGTCTGCAGAGTCCAGAGTACAAGCTGAGCAAGATCCGCTCCTCCACCATCATGACGGACTACAACCCCAACTATTGCTTTGCAGGGAAGGCCGCGTCACTCAATGAGCTGAAGGAAGTACCACGCAAGAACATTACGCTTCTCAGGTACTCGGATGCCAATTTCTCGACGAGCGAACAGATCACCTTCATGCTAATGTTTGTACTTAAATCAATGTATTTTTTTTTTGTGTTTTGTAGAGCTCTTGGCCATGGCGCTTTTGGTGAAGTGTATGAAGGACAAGTTCTGGGAATGAGTGCTGATAACAGTCCCATGCAGGTGGCAATAAAGGTCAGCTGTAGCTGAATGTTAGATGGTAGCTCCACCCCGGGAGTTATGTTAATCATATATAATTAACTCCGCAACATCTCACAGTGTTGCCTCGACCTCTTCATTTAAAAGGTCACACACAAATGAAGGCTGTAAAAAGACAGCGTTCGTAATGACTATGTAAGGAGAAGGATTATTTGCTTTACTTGCTACACAATGTTAAAAAATGTAATGAGCTGGTTTGATTTTTTTGACGAATGATGTCATGTTAAACCCTAATGGCTGCACAGATTTATAGATGGCTGTAAAAGAGAACATGTTCAGGCAATGCCCTCAGATAATTTAGGCTTGAAACTACACAGGATCAAAAAAGAAAAAAAAGAGCTGCGTGTGCTCCACATGGGTTGGCCTGCTTTTCAATGGTCTGCTGATTAGGCCTAATGATGTCTCTCCTGTCCTGCTAGGTCTCTCTCCTACACGCACACACACACACACACACACACACACCTCTAACTGCCTCCCTGTCTCTTTCTGCTCCACAGACTCTTCCAGAAATCTGCTCCGAACAGGATGAAATGGATTTCCTGATGGAGGCGCTGATTATGAGGTGCACCATCCAACAGCTGTTCTCTTGCTGTCTACATCACACATTGTTCACACATTGATTCCCCCGATGCGTCCCTCTAAAAGCTCATCTGACACGTCAATGTGAAATACACAGCAGCAGCTGGCTCTGTTTTATGGCCAAACATGTTCCTGTGAGTTTGAGGAGATGGCGACTGGAGCCAGAAACTTCACTCACTATAAATCAAATCAATAAAATAATGTTGAAGCACACGTATTGGCCTTCAGTATGATTAGCTCATTGCTTCAGCTAATTATATCAGACCTTTTTGTTTTCTGTACAGAAGTCTCGCTTTGCATGCACACACTGCCGATATGTTCGCTTCTGGATTGAGTGAAAACCCGAGCAGGATTATGAGCAACACGTTGAAGCCACACAGGTTGTCTCTGTTGATTGAAGGGAGCACAACATCTTTCTCATGCTACCCTTTTAGACCTTTCATTTATCCAAATATTTCTATTCTAATAACCGTTACCCGAGTAGCCAAGATACTACGTGAACCTGTCGGCCAAAAACACATCCTCAGGTCCCTTTTTTGATGATCTGTGCTGACAGTTTTGTCCCTGTGCACTTTGTCTTTACTTGATTTATGATGAGTGGGATTCCGTACGATTCAAAAAGTCAAGGATACATTTGCTTCAGAGTAAACAAAAAAAAAGAGAAAGAGTCAGCGATGTTACATACAGTTATATAAAGGCAGACAAGGACAGATCAAACAAAGGCTGAGGTGCTTCTAGAAGTTGTTAGGATAAGATTTTTTCATTGATTTGTGGTGTTTTATTACATTTGCAAATTAAAGCAGGAAACAATTTACATTTCCTAAATACATTTTACATTTTGTGTCGTGTGTTTGCTGAAGGGATAAAACTACATGTGACATTGACACTTTTTTCAATGTCTACCAAGTTAAACATAGCAAGCACATAAAGCCACTGCTAACTCAAGTGATGCTCACTGTTTGTACATGCAGCAAGTTCAGCCATGACAACATCGTGCGCTGCATCGGCGTCAGTCTGAACATCCTGCCACGATTCATCCTGCTGGAGCTCATGACTGGAGGAGACATGAAGAGCTTCCTGAGACAGAACAGACCACGAGCTGTATGTGTGCACTTTACATGTGTGTGGTGTGATGTGTGTGTGTGTGTGTGTGTGAGGAGGGTGTGTTGGTGTGGTTCACTAAACTGAGCTCTGCTGTCTCCAGGGCCAGACCTCTTGTCTCACCATGCGAGAGCTGCTGAGGATGGCCAGAGACATCGCCTTTGGGTGTCGCTACCTCGAGGAGAACCACTTCATACACAGGTTTCACATCTACGACATACTTCTACTGCGATTTAAATACAAATGAATATAATATGATATCTAGGTTGTATGCTTTTATGTGAGTAATCACAAAAACTTCATAATTGTGGACTAAATATTACGTAGCACTGAATGAGAGGATGTTTGCAGCAGGACACACACATTTTACACCTATGTAAATTCTGTCCAAAACTGCCACTGTACAGCATATACCCATATGTTTTAAAATCTACTTTTTTTTTTTTAAATGCGATTATTATTATTTTTGGTTCATTTTTGGAGCTTCTAAGACTTCTTTTTAGAGAGGACAGTGGCTGTAGTAAAGAACCAGGATGAGAGGGAGGGGAATGAAATGCGACAAAGTGCTGAGTCAAACTTGGCCCTCCCGCTCTGAGGACTAAAGTTCCTGTACATGGGACACATGATTATTATTTTTTAATCACGATTATTTAACTTTATTTGAGAAATGATTAAATGATTTCGGTTAGATAAGTGCAATAATGTAATTACATTTCATAACAAATCTTGTATTTTTCAGGGACATAGCTGCTAGAAATTGCCTTCTTACTTGCCCTGGACCAGACCGAGTGGCCAAAATTGGAGACTTTGGAATGGCGCGTGATATTTACAGGTCTGTATGCCTTATCTCCATCGTCACGCCAGTAGTGCACATAGCCTAGTACACTTGAGGACCAAACATATTTACCTACTAAGTTCATAGCCTTGTGGTGTTTCTTCAAAAATGATGCTAGATGGACATTCCTACATCAGATTTCTCTTCTTTTCCACCAGAGCGAGCTATTACAGGAAAGGCGGTCGTGCGATGCTGCCAGTTAAATGGATGCCACCAGAGGCCTTCATGGAGGGAATCTTCACCTGCAAGACTGATACATGGTGTGAATACTGAACTCATGATATATACGTGATGAGCCCTAAAAGTAGAAGTCCAAAAGTGTTTTTCATTCTAAAAAAGAAAAAAAAAACTTATTACAGGGGAAATGACTTTGAACTGACACAAAGTGCAGGTCTAAGAAAATAATGATGAAATAATGAATACCATGCTTAACTTGCAGTTGCCACACCACATACAGTTCGTTACTCACACTTCCCTAAAAACATTGTGCATGTGTAAATCTGGGAAACAGACAACTCATACCAGATGATGTATTGACAATTGGTGAACAGATTTAGATGGAAAATCATGTGATGAAACGAAGCTAAAGAGCCAAGTCGTTGTTTTGAGTGGTGAAAAGTATCAGAGCAGCTCCTCTCACATCATTTGAATACAAGGTAGGAGGTTTTTAACAAAAGCAATTTTATAAAAGAAAAACTTAATCAGACAGACCTACAGAGTAGAATGTAAAGAGCTCACATCTCTAAAGACAGAACAGCATCTGTATTCAAGATGCAGCATGAACTCTGTAAACAACGCCCTGATCTCGTGTGCAAAATGACAGTTCAATAACATTGGCATATTGGGGCCATTACAGGCAACAAGAGGGGCCCAAACCAATTATACAATGACCAAAGAAGAAAGATATTTAGCAAAGTAGACCAAACACCATCCAAAGTTTACATTTGAAGACAAGAAGAAAGATTTGTTTCAGATTAAGTTTGAAAAAGTCTGAGGTTTAGAGTCACAAATCAGACATTTTTATATGAAGACTGGATTTATACCTCGTATTTATACCTCCATAAAACGAGTCAAACGTGTTGGTGGGATCATGAATACGCTAGAATTCACCACAGAAATATAATAAAACTCCAAAGAGGCAAATTCTTTTTTTTTTCAAAGTTTTTTTTTCTGGAGGAATCTTTTCCAGAGGGCGAGAACAATTTGGCAATCAAGACTTCTGGTTTGTGTGGCTTTCTGTTTAATTACTACAACCCTATTTCTGTGGGAAAATGCAAAATGTGTTTTGACATCTCAGGAGGAAGGATGTAACAGTGCTACAAGGAAATGGATGCTCAAATTTAGCAAAAAGGTGTTTAGTTTTTTTTAACTAAAAAATGATATAATCTCCTACAAGCAATATAGTAAAGAAACATTTTATTTGCTGCCTATAAATATTTTAAACATGAACTTCCTGGCAGTCCTGTTACACATTTGGACTGCACACTACTTTTTAAAATACAGTAATTGCTGCTGGCTAGGATTTTGAGACCCAGCAGCAGAAATAAATAGCATAGAAAAGAGAAACCACTCTAAAGGCAGCTCGGGAGGTTTGTAGTTTGATGCAGAGGAGTTAAAAGCTTTTTCTTATTCAGTCACGGCTTTCAGCCAATATGTGATTACATCTCCATCTGGTTGAAGATTTCTTTGGAGAAAATATATGTTATTGAATTTGCTCAGTCTGATTTAGATGAAAGAGGGGAAGGTTCAATATGTCATCAATTTGATTGAGTAAACTCAGTCGTTGAGCTGTGTCTCCCCCTGCAGGTCATTTGGAGTGCTGCTATGGGAGATCTTCTCTCTGGGTTACATGCCGTATCCCTGCAAAACCAACCAAGAGGTGCTGGAGTTTGTCACGAGTGGAGGCAGGATGGATCCTCCAAAGAGCTGCCCGGGGCCTGTGTGAGTGTTTACCGGAGCTTTGATGTGATAGGTTCAAGGTTTCAGGTTCCCTGATTTTAAAACGTTTTCTACCAAGACAGAATGTTGTGCTGCTGCACATCGGATTCTCTGTTTGTGGCATCAAATTGAATGACAATCATTTTCAAAATTATGATAATTCTTACTTTATTTGGAGATCAAAGCTTTACCTAAGATAATAACTAGTGCATAGCAAACCTTAGACATACAGGGGCAGATCCAAGGGGTGGCCCAATTTGCTCCCCTAGTCAAAAAAGTGTGGCACTGCCTCTGCATACATAAGAACTTATTGTACATCATACTCTTTTAGAAATAATTGCACACATCTGCTTTCTCTACTACCATTGATCTGTTGAACTTGAAGTATGAGCGATGAGAAAAGATGGCGTTGATATAATGAGTTTGTGTCTGTTACAATGCAGCTATCGGATCATGACTCAGTGTTGGCAGCACTGTCCCGAGCACCGGCCTAACTTTTCTTCTATCCTGGAGAGAATTAACTACTGTTCTCAGGTATGCTTTTTTCCACTCATGGATGTACAGTATATACACAACATCCACATTAAGGCAATATACATTTGAAACTGTTAATTTTTTCACCCTTATTCCACCTTTTTTCTTTTTCTTCTAAATTCAGGACCCAGACGTGATCAACACCCCCCTGCCAGTGGAGTACAGCCCCAACTCTGAGGACAATGGTGGTTTAATAATCCGTCCCTCTGACCACACCTCCTCCAGCCTCACTCCTCTCCTGGTGTCCCACACTGTTTCCCAGGATTCCTCCCAGCTTGGTCTCTCCTCCCTAGGCCTGGGTCCCAACCCTCTTACCCCACAGCCCACCAAACCCCGTCTCCTCCTCCAGAAAACCCAACCTGTCCACCAGGAAGTAACATCATGTCGTGAAGCTCTAGAGCCATCCTGGGCTGAACCTGTACCCGCTCCAGGTTTGTCAGCCGCTTCCGCGTGTGCAGGAGGCCACTGGCTCCACCCTGAACCTCCTCATCACCAGCCCTGCTCCAGGAACAGCTCCTCCTCAGGGAGCCAGAGGCTGAAGAACAAGACGAAGAACCTGTGGAACCCCACATACGGTTCCTGGGTTTTGGAAAACTTCGGGGGGAAGAAAACACTTTCTCACACTCAGTCCATGCCGCTCTCAAGCTCATCTACCAGCAGCTCTAACACGCAGGCTCCTCCGACCTGCAGCCCGACTTTAGAGAGCCGTGACACTGGATGTGAGAGCCCTTCAAGCTTCTGCACCTCCTCAACTCCACCCCCTTCCTGCCAAGCTCAAGCTGCAATGAGCCCATCATCCCATAAGATGCCAACTGGTGGCAGCTCTAAAGCTGGTATGGACCTGGCTAAGCTGCAGAGTTTTCCTTGTGGCAACGTCAACTACGCCTATGATGAGCAAAGCTACGAGGCAGAGAGCCTGCCTCTGGTGAAGCCCAAAGATCCAGAAGCCATCACCAACACCAGCTCTGCCCCCAGCGTCTCCTCAGGAACCAGCCTGGGACTGGCGCTAGGCCTCCACACTTCCTCTTCCTGTATGCCCAAGCTGCTGCTGAAGCGTCACGCCAGCTACGGACACGAAGACGTGAGAAGACACACCAAAGCTGAGAAACCAACGCGGGACAGAGACTCAGGTTTTTCTCTGTCCGAAGATCTCAGTGTTACCCCGATCTAAAAAAAAAACAAAAAAGTATAACAAGGAATCTTAATTATGTAAGGATTAAATCACAGCTGGAGTCCCTTTTCTCACAGCCATGACATCAGTTCTGCATTTCGGGAACAGATAGTACCTTCACAAGACCACGACATCAAATTATCAAGAGTTCATGGAATGCTGGAAAACACTCAAACCCTCACACGCCACAAAAACTCCTCAACACTGTGATACAAAATGCAAACACTGGACTCAGAGCTCCATACAGGGCTTCTGTTACACTGGTAGCTGAACGCTGAAACGAAGGACGTGAAGCCCTGCAATCTCTAGCTGACAGAAGTATCTGCTGTTTGACTTTGTTTAGATTCCTATTTTTACCCTTTAGTTTTTTTTTTATGAAAGCTTTGGTGGTATGTTTTTTTTGTTGCATCATAGTAACTTTTTTTTGTAGTTTGTAGTTTGCAGTGTACAGTACGAACCAAAAACAGGATGGAAAATATTGAGCCATTGGGAAGAAAATCTTAAAGCATGCTATTTTGAGGGAAAACTATAATGTCAAAGGTTTCAAACTCAGAAAATGTCTGAGAGTTACCAAAACATTTCTTTTTCCTGATGTCTCAATATTCACTTGAACTGTGGGAGGTGTCATGGACGGCTTGTAGAGTTTGCTGGGAAAATATTTGCTATTTTTGTACTTACCTTCATACAACTGGACTAACCCATTGCATTTGTATCTGTTTTATTTGTATGCGTTTATGTTATTGATGGATTTGTATTTGTAGTTGATCACTGCCATTTGATACCTCTATGCTGCATCTGCTAAAGCAGTGCCGGTAATTCCTATGTTTACTCAGCAGGGGGAGGTATTCAGCTTTTAATATAGCAAACATGCTGCTGCAGGTAACTCATTTGAAACAGTTAAGACTTAACTGTTGAAATGTAACTTCAGTATTTATGTTTTCAAGTTATTCTTTTTTAGTCAATTAGATAGATTTGTGTTTTTATTTTTCACCTTAACATGTTTATTCTTTTTATTTTGTAAATAAATAAATTCATTTCTTTTGAATACATTTATTTACAAAATAAAGCAAGACATTTATTTATTTTGTAAATAAATGAATAACAATACATGAATAGTTGAATTTACAAAAGCGTTCTTTACGTTTATTGGATGTTTTTATTCCCAGGCCTGCTGGGCATTTTTCTTTCACACACACTGTAAAGTTTTCTAAATTCTTTATGTAGCTGAGGAAGTTTTTACACCTCAATCCAAAAATGCACTCTATGCAAATATACTGTACTTCACACGTTCATCTTACCTAACTGTGCCATAAATAAAGAAACATATATATTGATCCTATTTGTGTGATCAGTTCAACATAGTTTTGTGGATTAGAGTGAATTGAGTCTGACAAAAGTGACTACTTAAATTAGGTTTTCCCTTTTTATTCCCATTTACATTTCCATTAATTTAATTTACAGAACATCTCGACCCAAGACCCTAAAACAAACATTGCAGTGTAAATATTCCACATGTTTTGTAACAGCACATTCAAATCAAATTGATTACAATTGTAATTTCATTTTTGGATTAAAGTTCGATTACATGATTCAAATAAGTGAAAGAAATCTAAATTGTCACATTTTTACAATTAAATACACTTTGTCAGAAAAGTTACAGGTAACATACTGAAATCATTTTACTATAATGACAATGTGTTAAGTGTTATAGTAATGTGACCAAGAGGTCTGAGATCCGGTCAAATATGAACTTTAACTCATTTAGCCCTTATTCATTCTTAACGTGTAACATCCTATCCCTGAAAGTGAAATGCAGAATCCCTACTCTTTCACTTCTGTCTGTGTTGTAGGAAGTAGAATTAGTGTCAGTTTATTTGCTCAAACATTCAGAAACTAGTGAAAAGTTCTCCTCTCTATTCAGTGTCCAGTGTAGTTTCTCTGTCAGCAGTTACAAAGCTCTTCTTGAGCTACACTAAACCTTCTTTTAAAAACCTTCCTAAAAGTCTCCATTGTGATTTCCATTGAAATAGCTTGATGTCCCTTTACCCTACAGTCTAACAGTCAAAGGTCATTGACCATCTGTTTCTGTAGTTTGACTTTTCTCTTTGGTAACTGAGCAACATGTATCTCCACTAGTCCCTTCATTGCTTACAGACTTCAGTGTTTGGATGAGGTTTTCCAGCCCCCACAGGTAGCCGTCCTCGCGGTTGCCTTCCTGCCAGGGAATGTCATGGTTCAACGTCTGGCCCTCTGGTAACGCTGTGGTCTTTCCAAAGTCAATAATCCAGACCTGGGCATTGCCAGTGTGGTCGTGGATAAAGAGCAAAGAGCTGCCAATGACCTATGGAAAACAGGAAAGGGTTCATATTAGCCACTATTATTCTGTCCTCTGCTTTTATTCATCTATCCATTTATATAGATGTTTCTCAACCAGGCATCATTTTACTCCAGGGAGTATTTTGCAAATTGTTAAATGAGTCAACATCAAAGACACAAGATGATGACTTGTTTATTGATATATAAAGTGTGGCTAAAGCTGAGCTATTGAAATGGCAAATATTGATGGATTATCAGTTGAAACTAGATTTAAAGTAATGGATAAACAGTTTTCATAGTTACAGTAGCTGTAAAGTTTTTGAAATAGCTAGATATAATAGATAAACAGTTGAAGTAGTTAGCTAAGTAAAAAGTAAAGGATACATACTTTGATAAAAGTTTAATGAGCAAAGTCAAAAGTAATGGTAAAACGAAATAGCTAGACTTGCTTAGCTTCAGTTAGCTAATGCATACATTTGAAATTAGGCTTACAAATGAATGCCGGTACTTGAAATAGCTAAACATAATAGCTAGTTAGCATAAGTAAACTGTTAACTTAGGTAGGTAATAGTTTCGGCCATTAGCTAGGTTAAAAGTGATTAATAAACAGTTCTTACAGTTAGCCAAAAGTAAAGGATAATTAGCTGAATAACGTGTCACAATAGATAAACAGTTGAAGTACTAAGCTTAGTAATAAGTAATTAAAGGCTAAAAAAATGAAAAACTGAGCAAGAAACAAAAGTTAAATTAGTTAAGTGAGAACTAATTGATAAATAGCTAAACCTAGCTATACTAACAGTTGGCACATAACTAAATAATTAAACGAATTAAAAATAAATATTTAACAACTTGGGATAGTGTATAAACTATTGTTATCTAAAAGTTATGGATTAATGTCATGGATAATTGTCTTCTCTCGTCACTTCTTCTGTCACATTGTGAATCAACTTAATCAAGTTCAGAGGAGTTATTGATTGTATTTGTCAGCGCTGTGGGACAGGAGCCTTAGCTGTACAGGGCACAAGTAAAATGATGATACAGCTAGCCTCCACATCACCAAAACACAAAGTGCTCGACAACAACATCTTTTGGAAAAACGTTGCATCATTCGTGTTAAGATTCTCTTTAAGTTGCAACACCGCCGCAACTCTTAAGGCTGTTTACGTTTGTTTTTGTTTATCTTGTCTCTCCTCATCAATCATCACCTCATGTTGTCTGAAGAAGTCGGATGTCTTCAGGGCCTGCTGGATGTCTGTCAGTCTGCTCAGGTAGGACGTCTTTGTTTTATGAAAAACAGAGATAAGCATATCATAAAACACCTTTTAATACCTTAATTTGATTTCAGATATGTTTTAATCCAAACTATCCATGAAAAGCTCCAGGTGTACCAGGGTGTAGACAGAGTGTATGCCTGGGAACCTCTCCCAATAATAGAAAACTCAAACAGTGTAACAGAGTGAATATTTACCTTCTGCAGTTCAAACACTTCAAGGCTGTTTTCTTATAACATAAGACAGCCCCAGCCTTTTTCAAACTGTGTCTACAAAATAATTTACATTTGTCCAAACACTGAACACGGATGTGAGAGCTTAACCACCCGCTCTGTTAGTTTATCAAGAGTTTTAGGTAAGGCCTGCAGGATTGCTTTGTTTATATTCACAGTACACTATGTGTCCTTCCTTATACAAATGAGCATGAGTATGTGCAGGAACTATAATATATCAGACTGCCACGTACTAGAATGATGACATTCCCTCCAACAAAGTCTCTGAACACCTGGATGACATCCTGCCTCGATCGGGTCTTCTTGAAGTCAGTTCGACATGTACCATCAGATTTCTGAAAAAGAAAAAAAAGACCTGAATAAGAATCCCATTTTATTAAAATAGGCTTTAATTTACAGTTAGGCTGCAGAAGCTCAGTCTGTAAGGACAGAGGGTCGCCAGTTGAAGTCTCTTAGCAGACCTGGTCTAACAACTGGACTGGCAATTGGAGAGCTGCCAGTACAGTTCCTCTGAACTGCGGAGGTGCCCTTGAGCAAGCCATCAAACCCCCAACCGCTCGGGCGCTCTTTCCTGTGCAGCCCCTCACTCTGACAACTCTCTATTAGTGTGTTTCCACTAGACACTCTTTTTGCATATGCGTGTATTTTTGCCTATGGTTGTGTGTCATGTCTCAAGACATGAGTGAAGAAATGTAATTTCCCCTTGGGGATTAATAAAGTATACACTATCTACTAATTGTAATTTGGGATGTGACTGAATACTTGAGATTGTACTGCATCTATGTGCATTCTCTGAAACCCTCCATCACCTGTGAAGAAAATTTCAATAAACGAAACTAAAGGAACTCTATTCTTGTCGTTCAAATCTAGAGGACTTGAGTTTGTAAGTCTGCGGTTTGGTGTCGGCAAGGAATGTAAATTGGGTTTCTCTGGATTTCTTTTTTGTTAATGCTATTGAATATTCTAAAAATACAATATGGCTGACATAAGCTTCAAAGTTTACTCGAGCTGAAGTAACTTCAGTGTAGAGATGTATCTCTGAAGATTTGTCTCTAGAAGGAATCCTTCTCTTATTACACTCATGAAAAAAAAAGATAAAAAGGTATTCAAGTATTCCTCTGCTTCAAAACCACAACAACCCTGTGAATATTCTGCTGATAGTTTTCAGGTGTCATGCCTCTGCCTCTACCTTGATCCCCTCGATCCGGAAGCCCAGCGTGTTGGTGGAGCTCATGCTCTCCCTCCACTGCATGTAGCGAGGTTTGGTGACTCCTCGTTGAGAGTGCTCCTGAGGCGTCGGCCCATCGCCGTCCACCTCCACCATTTTTTTGTACAGGTCCTCCCTCGGCTTGGGCCGCTCCCGTGCCCGCACCAGCTCCTCCTCTAAGTACGTCCTGAAACAAACAATAATTCTTCGACTTACAACGAGTTCTTTGTACATAAAGTAAATGATGGCGCATGTTGCTTTACTTGGAAATTTATTTTGATTCCGCTTACGTGTTTGTTACTTTTTTTTAAATCACTGGGACTTGTTTTTCGGATGCAAATAACCCAAAAGACAGCAACCAACCCCAGCAAACATTTCAATTTGAAGAAAGGGGTTGCAAATTTCAAAACACATGCAATAATCTTTAAAATAAATCATATTCAACTGCTAATTGGGTATTAAATTATGTTAGTGGACAGCACAGCAGCACAATCACACTCATCTTATTCATACTGAGGTCAGTATACATGAAAACAGGTTTGAATTTCAGTTTCAGTTTGTGAGTGTGCACTTCCTCTGTGAGCTGAAGGGGGAAGCTGAGAGGAGACTCCAGCGCTCTGTGCAAGTGTGTGAGCGTGTGTGTGCTTGTCTAAGTAAGAGCTTTGTGGTTGAGAAATGTTTAAGACAGCGGGGAGTCTCCAGGAACACCCTCAGTGTTAGTGTCTGCGTGTTTGGATGTACATATAGCCGAGGCTACACACGCATTGCACAAAGTAGAACACTTTACTTTATATTATTTGTTCAAATGTGAGTCATCATGTGTGTTTGTGGAGTTTAGTGACCTTTTGTGCGTCTGTTGTTTTGTCGGACTTGTTCAGCCAGTAGTAAAGGTGAATGTTTTAACCTACACGTTTGTGCATGCACCAAAACAAGAATGCATACATTCATGTGTGTATTCATGCATAGATGCGTTTGTGCATTTTTTTTTTTACAATATATTTGTGTGTGTGTGTTTGCTTGTGCACATGATACAGTGAGGCACCCCGTCTGCTGTGGCAGGAAGCCAAGCATGTCGCCTGCAGCTACACCAGGTGTTCCCTTTAGACCTCAAACACTGCAGGCAGCACAAAGTGTCACCAGAACAAACAACATGTTTGATTTATTATTGTCTGGATATGAATATGAAATGATCACATTCATTAGCTTGTTATTTTTATCTAGTTGAGCAGAAACAGAGTTTTAAAAAGTGTACCTCTTTGATAGTCACATGAAAACATAGAAATGATTGA